ATGAAGGAGGCTCGACATACAGATCGCTCTCGTATGGTTAAGCCTCCACAACGACCTCCAAGTAAAAGGTGGGAGAAGGTCGTGCATCCCAAGTTTCCAAAAGAACCTGTGAGAAATCCTAGAACTTTGAGAAGAAGGCTGCAGCGAAAGCGAGCAGAGGCACGTCGTCGTCAACAATTAGCTACTGAGGAAGTTAAGGTTCCACAACGTTCTCTCGCAAAGGGAAAGATGGTGTGGAAGAGAAAAGAAAGTCAAGAGGTTGCTGTCCAGAATGAATCTCAACCGAAGGTGCCACCTCCTAAGCTCACCTCATTGATTGTTAATGAAAATGAGTTGAAGGCAACCTTTGAAGCAGATCAACAAGCAGAGTTGACTAGCGATGATAATCTTCTTGAGGACATGGATGTTCTGCAGATTAGCAGCATCTCTATTAATCTCTCTTGTCTGGTTCTCATGCTTCCTTTGGTTTTTCAAGCCAAGGGCAACGAGACTACCCATGTTTCCAATGGCAGCATGCTTGTTGAGGAAGAAGTGATAGAGGTTCCAGCCCAAGAAGAGGAAGAGGAGCATGATATCCTTTTAGAACAAATTATCTTTAACAAACCAGATGAAAATGTGGCTCGTCATATAAAGCCATTCTATATTTCAGCTCACATGGATGGAGTTCCAGTGAATCGAGTCCTTGTCGACAATGGAGCAGCAGTCAACGTCATACCTTCTTTTATGCTAAGGAATTTGGGTAAAAATTTTGAGGACTTGGTTTATACTGACGTAACCATAAGTGATTTCACAGGTGGTGTTAGCAAATCAAAAGGAGTGCTACCGGTTGCACTTACTGTTGGCAGCAAGACGTCAATGAGTGCTTTCTTTGTTGTAGACTCTTCTGCAACTTATAATGCATTATTGGGACGTGATTGGATCCATTCGAGTTGGTGTGTTCCATCTTCTCTCCATCAAAGACTCATTTTTTGGAATGGAGGCAAAACTGAGGTGGTCTATGCTGACAACAGACCATTCTTAGCCAATTCCAATATGGTGGAAGCACGGTACTATGATGAAGACGTAGGAACCATCCGTTTCTTCGGCATGGATAGACAAGGAATACCTCGTGGAATCACTGCTTGCAACAAGCCTACCTTGGCTAAGTGTGTGGTTGACGAGGTATGCAATGAACTCTTGCGGCCTACTGCCATTATTCCATATAGGCCGCAAGAGGAGCCCAAAATTGAGGAGTTATTATGAAGAAATCCAGAATAAACAAAGAAAGAAGGGAGGCCGTATATGAAATTCCAAAGAAATTAGCGGCCTATTTTGTTGAAAGAAATACAAAAGCAAATCTGTCGGAGGTGGTACATGAAAGTGAAGAGGATACCCATACCGACGGAATCACAATGGAGGAGTTAGATTTGGCCCCTGCAAAGCTGGATGACCTCAGGGCTGATGTACAAGATCCATTGAAGGAAGTTAATCTGGGAACGGAGGCAGAGCCACGCATTACTTTTGTCAGTGGCTTGCTTCCGCTAGAGATGCGAGATCAAATAATCTGTTTACTACATGAATTCAAAGACTGCTTTGCTTGGGATTATTCTGAGATGCCAGGTTTAGACCGAGAGTTGGTAGAGCATAGACTACCAATCAACAAAGGATATAAGCCGTATAAACAGCCGCCACGCCGTATGTCTCCAGAAGTGATTTTGAAGGTGAAGGAAGAAGTGGAGCGGCTGCATAAAGTTGGTTTTATACGGACAGCCAGGTACTCCGAATGGTTGTCTAATATTGTTCCAATAGTGAAGAAGAATGGAAAGCTCAGAGTTTGTATTGATTTTCGGAACTTAAATCTAGCCACACCAAAGGATGAATACCCCATGCCAGTAGCAGATTTACTTATTGATGGGGTTGCACGCCATCGCATTTTATCTTTTATGGATGGGCATAGTGGCTATAATCAGATCTTTATTGCAGAGGAAGACATAAGTAAAACGGCGTTTCGTTGCCCTGGAAATATAGGTATGTATGAATGGGTCGTGATGCCGTTTGGGTTGAAAAATGCAGGAGCTACATATCAACGGGCCATGAATGCAATTTTCCATGATATGATTGGCCGCTTCATGGAGATTTATATCGATGATGTTGTTGTTAAATCCATGGAGGATGAAGAACATTTGGAGCACTTGAGGAAAGCTTTTGAAAGAATGCGATAACATGGTTTGAAGATGAATCCTCTCAAGTGTGCTTTTGGTGTTACAGCAGGGAATTTTTTGGGTTTTCTGATCCATGAACAAGGCCTAGAGGTGGACAAAAAGAAAGCAAGGGCCGTAATTGAAGCGCGGCCACCACAAAATAAAAAGGAATTACAAAGGTTTCTTGGTCAAGTTAATTTCCTAAGGAGGTTTATCTCTAACTTGGCGGGCAAAACTCGTGTCTTTTCACCTCTTTTGAAGTTGCAACCAGATGCAGATTTTAAATGGGAGAGGCAGCACCAAGCCGCTTTTGATGCCATCAAGGAATACTTGTCTAAGCTACCTGTGTTGGTTCCTCTAGTTAAGAATAAACCTTTATTGCTGTATATATCCGCCGCAGATGAGTCAATTGGCTATCTGCTGGCGCAAGAGAATAGTAATAAACAAGAACAAGCTGTTTATTATTTGAGTAGAGCTTTGAATCCGACCGAAGTGAAATATTCTTCGGTTGAGAAATTGTGTTTGGCTTTGTTCTTTGCAGCAATAAAATTGAGGCACTATTTATTGTATTCGGAGGTGTTTGTTGTTTCAAAAATTGATGTCATAAAATACATGCTGTCGCGGCCACTCTTAAGAGGTCGCATTGGTAAGTGGATTCTTGCACTTACTGAATTTAATCTGAGATATTTGCCTCAAAAGGCCGTGAAAGGACAGGCTTTAGCAGACTTTTTAGCAGATCATCCTTGTTTAGATGTTAACGCTGATGAAGACAAGGGAATCAATCTCTTTTCGATTGACTTGGTTCCTTGGAGGCTTATTTTTGATGGATCTAGCACTGATCAAGCCTCAGGAGCTGGAATTATTATTGTTTCTCCAGATGGCATAAAAACCCAATGGTGTTTTCAATTAGATTTTGAATGCACCAATAACCAAGCAGAATATGAAGCTTTGGTAATTGG